TAAGAAATCTGTCATCAAATCTACATTTCCGATTGCAATTCGTAAATTGTAGTTAATACAGATGGAACGTGCTTGGTTAAGTGCCATTGAATATATTTTTATTTAAAAATGGGAAAAAGCGTATTTAACTACATATTTTGATACATTTTAGTTCAACACTATTCAATTCGTTTGTTTTGTGAATTTTATTTTAATTAATTATTGCAATAAATTCAAGAATAAATTCTTACTAAAGTATATACGTGTACAGTGCTAATTCTGCTATTTATTGCTAATTTCTCTATTTTCTTCATGTAAATTTCCCTATTTTTTGCTAATGTGCTAATTCTAATTCGCATGGATATCCCCTAGAATAAACCACAGCAAAACAAAAAATTTCATTATTCTTTCTTTTCGGCGCTCAATTCGCCAACGAATCGAATTTATGTTTCCCATCTCCCGTTCAAATCTCAATGCGCTCCTTTCATGATGCGGTTAAGTGATCGTTTTTGGCAGTCCAAGGGATGAAAGAGTATAAGGGAAAAAAACAACCTCCGCAAGTGACCAAAATCGCAATCAAAGCACAAGTTTTTGGTTTCTATTTCTTTATATTGGAAATTTTGGAAACATTTTCCTTTGTAGCTCTCTTTCTTTTTCGAATAAATTCACAAAGAAAGTGATGGCGAGAATCGTCCGAAAATGGAAAAAATGCTACGAAATTGGAATCGATTCGAAAAGGATAAAGAGAGAGAGAAAAAAACGAACCGACCAAAAATCGCTTAAATTAAAGAAAGAAAACTCTCGTAAGATGAAAAGATAGTGTTTTATTTATATGTATTTGAATTGTTCGTACGTGCTTGATAAGATCGAGCGAATTATTTCGAAATATACGTTTTTTATTTGAATCCAACATAGATACTCGTCGTTGCTTAGCTTTCTCGTTCGGTATTGCTATTTACTTTGGCTGTACGCGTAGTCAAAGTTCTTTTTTTATGCCACAAATACGACCTAATGCTAAAACGTTCTTCTCACACTCTTCGCCGTATTTGTTCGTTTGCCACCGGGGTGGCCCGGCCGCAGTCACAACCATTTGCCATAGACCACTGAGATGGCGAGATGCAGTGAGATGTAAAGAGGGAGAAATGAGAGAGAGAGAGATAGAGAGGTAGGAATGGAACCGAAACGGTGATCCAACCGACAACGGAAGATGAATACAAACGGTGAAGAAAATACAGAAAATGCGGTCGAATCAGTGTTATATAGGATATCGTTCGTTATGTCATCACATAGACACATTTTCAATTTTCAAGAATAGCGCACACAATTTTCCGCATCAGAATACATGCAATTTACAAAACGCACACCGAACAAGAAACAAAAGTAAAAGAAAAAGAATGGGAGAGCAAGCAAATATGCGCGTAACACACAGAGAAAGAGACATACAACAAATTTGAAAACAATGAAATGAAATGCGCCGCTACTTTCATGTCAATCGTTTTAAATTCTTTCATGCAAAAAGGAAATAATCGAATACCTCTTTTGTAAAATGTTTTGAAACAAAATGAAAAATATAGACAATGAAAAGCCGAAATTCTTTGTCTGTTTGATGCAATTTCATACTGTAAAAATGTGTATGTGACAAAGGCAAGAGTTCAAAAAGTTGAAAAGCACAATAATAAAATTGTAGCAATAAATATAATCGAAATGGAAATTGGAAAAGACATACAGCATCGACAGCAAAAAAAATAAAAGATAGAGCGAAGTAAAAGATAAAGAGAAAAAATAAAAATCTCATGGAAAAAGAGATTTGTTTGCTGTTATTGGAAGTTGCCGCCAGAAGAAAATTGGCTGAATGTTTGCCTGATTTTTATTCTATTGTTAGTTGTATACTTGGGCAGAAAGAAGGTTTCTGTTCCCCCTCCCGTACCACAGACGGATACGGGATCTACCTCGGTTTACAAATCTTAACAAAAATGGGGTTTGATACAATCTGAACTTTTCAAATCTTTCGATTTGCTAGAGTATTTTTGGGAGAAAGTGATGACCCCTTTGCCTTTCACTTTTTTCGAAATTTGAAAATGAAAATTCTTCCGATTTTCTAGGCTTTCCTGCTAATCAACCCATCTCCCACATGATACATGCCTCCCTGTAGAAAAAATCTGTCCACCTATGTTTTAGTTTTGTAAATATTTGATAATGGTGTTGAACGACTATGATTGGTCAATTAAATCTGTTTGATTCAGCTCATTTTAAGTAATAATCAGAGATTGTGATTTGTGAATACGCTTCTGAGCAGGAAAATAATTCTTTATTGCAATGCTTACATTTAACTTCGAAATTCAAATTTAAAATCGAAATGTGTCACCGCTATTTCTGTTTGATTAAGTTTTATTTTTTTTCGACCTTTTTTATTGATTCAAATGTTTTTTTTGCTTGCATTTCAAATAACTGAATTGTATTTGCTGACATCGCAACAACAAATCAAAGAATTGGTCGCACACGAAATTCGAGACACTTCACGCTATTACGACAAGTTTTTTTTATCGTTCTTGTATTGCATATACTCATATTCGTACACATAACATCATCCTGTATAAATATGTTTTGTAAATAAACATTGTAAAGTGTACGAATGTTTTGTATGTATTAGTATCGCACGGAAAATTCCAGATAATTCAGACGTAATAAAGATTTTCAATCGAGCGGAAATATACAAAACAAATCTATCATGTTCTTTACAGTTTATTTGGTTGATGCAAATTCACATACTGGTCCCTCAAAAACTCATTTATCAGTTGGCCCAGGTCAATATGAATAATTACGGTGTTAATACCAATCAAATTTAATTTACTTTTCGAAAGAGTGGTATGAAGATATGCTATATGCAAGCGAACCACCTTACATTCAACCAAATTTCAATTTGCCTATTACAAATGTTTTTCCTTTGCCGAACGATTTGCAAGAAACGTGCTTCGTTGGGCGCTTGATAAAGTTTTGGGGTATGTCTTATATTCATAGGAAAATGCAGAGAAAAAACATGTTTTTTTTTAAATTTAGAGTCATTTGATGACGCTTTGGCTCATGTCGAACGTTTGCGAACACTATAACCAGCTGTCTACAATCCATTTCGAGTGCACGAAATGCCAATTCCACCCATAGATTTTGGAAATGAAAACGCTTACTATGATCAACTTTACAATGAAATCGTCTCAGACGATTAAATTGATACATTGACTGGGTTTCGGTCAAAAAATAGTGTTAATGAGGAAAACATACGATCGCAAAATCAAAGTGTGCATCAAGAAGGAGCAGACGATCAAAAGCCAGTTTTGCCAATCGTTGAGTTGGAACGCAATGATATAGTTGCTTTTGATGCTTTGTTTCTTGAGCCACAAGAACAACAAAAGAACTCTGCAATAGAAAAAATGAATGATACATTGGCATGCAGCGATGACAATTTGAATGAACATGTAAAAATCATTGAAGAAAATCATTTGGATATGATGAAAAAAACAGTCCAGCTTGACGATATAGAAATGACATTCGTTTCTGATGCAGATTTCTGACCAAAAATGATTAAGGATGGTTTTGAAATCAAAGCTAATGATATTTTATGTCAAAACAGACCATTTAAACAAAATGTACGTTGATTTTGCAATGTTTGACTGATCAGCATGAATTGATTCTAATTTCATTGCCAACTACAGGATAATGGGGACCGTGCATTTAAAATTCAAATCGAACGAATATTCAAAGAAGTTGTATTGTCTGCTCGAGCAGTGAATGGACTTATAAAACTCAACAATGAAAAACGAGATGATATCAATGCCGATAAAAAATTTCTCAAGGCATTGGTGATCGTGGTTTGCACACTTAAACGGGTGAAAGAAAAAACTGAACCACTTGATGAATATTGTCGTGAATTGATAAAAGGTACAACTATTGTTTTGAACTTTTAAAGTGAATTAAATTTAAATGAGGCAATGCTTTTCGCTTATTCTAGATTTACTCATCGTTCGTGCTGCAAATGATAGAAATCGGTTGAACTCATTTGAAAAGAAGCTGAAGCAAATTTGTCTTGAACTACGCCAAAATGTTTTCTAAACATTAATTTTTTTCTTAAGTTTTTACAACTTTTCATTAAGTAAAAAAATTACTATAGTTTCAATAAAAATTAAATAAAAAACAAATCGCTGTTAATATTTGTTGTCGTTCCAATTTGACAGCCAGCATCTATATTTGTTTTGCTTGAGTAAAGAGTACACATAAAAGAATATTCGCACATTGTTCGTTGTATGAGTGTATTGCGCGATTGCTCTCCAAATACGATGCAAAACAACACACATCTGACTACGACGCTCTATGTATTATTTCATGTTTTTAAAATATGTTTTTATTTTATACCACATAACTATATTGATGGTGTGTCTTTGTGGTGTAGAGAGAATATCGAACAACTGTGACTTTGAGTATGTCAATATGATGTATATGTTTATATTTGAAATAAATAAGATGAGCAACGATAAATAAAACCATAATCAAATCCTCTTTCTTCTGTTTCAATTTCCAAGTCAGAAAATGTTAATCAACTACATATTCTAAATAAAATTCAGGAAAGAAGCAAAAAAGTTCTACGCCAATCAGACAAAATCAGCACTTTTTTTACTTCTTTATATATTTGGAAAGAAAAATACGCTAGTATTGCAGTTTTAACTGAATTTAACGTTCAGTTGATTTGTATATCTTGACATAATCTAGAATAAAAATTAAAAAATAATTGCTGTGGAGACGTACCTTTTATCGGTATCATTACTGTAGACTAAACATCGAGATCTGATTATTTTTGAGACATAACAAGCAAGTATAATTTATAATAAAGAAGTATTTGGGTATTAAAAGTAAAAGGTATAAACATTTAATATTGAAATAAGACAATAAAAATTCAAAGAAATCAAAAAATATTGAAAAATGTCGACTGGATATATATTTTGTTATTTTGGCTACGTTTTATCATGAGAAAGGTTTTTGTGTCGACGCATTCGTGTCTCTGTAGATGGCCAGTACACAACAATATAAAGATAACTCAGTTGAAAAAGAAATGAACGGTATAACCATGGGCAAATCACTCAAAAATTGCTAATTATTATTGATTGTTTTACTTATCGATTATTTGTCGATTACTTTAAATTAATTCTATTCTTTTCTTTTGTGATTCTTCCCTTAGGAATAACCATGGTTGATTATGTTTGCCAGAGATGCAAATACAGATTCACCGAAAAATACTATTTCCTCTTACGTGATTGTCCGCAGTGCAAACTTACGCACGGATGTCATGCCATTAAAACTGCTCAAAACAGGTTTGATACATTTGATTTGTCTAAATGTTTTGTTATTATTTCATAATTAATGGAACTTTTTTTACAGGTGGTATGCAGCCCAAAATGAATGATCGCAACGTTTAAAGCTTTCAAAAAACCATTTTCCCACTTATTGCTGAACAAAAGTGAAATAGCTTATCACAAGCAATGTCAATTCCCAAATAAAACACACAATAATTTCCATATAAAATGTAAAGTTAGTTTCATTTTGTTTTTATTATTTTTCGATGAATCAAGTTGCAATTTTATATATACAAGATCCATGAGTCGATTGAGTGATTACACGAGTGACATTATTCAAAGCCGATGAAAATAGATTGCATAGTTAGTTGAGCGTAAGTGCATAGCCATTTTAAACTATTGGGGATTTTCCATCAAAGCCTACATCTACAAAAAGAGCATACACATACACAGTTTGTAACAAAATGCTTTGTATTGTTGATGATGAGAGCTTAGGCTTGTTTAGGTTATCAAATCCCTTGTTAAATATCGTCCAATTTGAGTAGCTCGTACAAAACTCTTCTTCTTTCATGAAATGAACTAGAATAACGAGGATGCGATACATTTAATTAGATCGGCTTCGGTTCTAAAATCTAAGATTAATGGTTATCTGAAGAGAGAAACTAAAACATTTCCTTGTAATGCATGTACTTTTGCGTCGGATTACAATGGAATCGTTTGAAACAGACAAAGACTCAGAGATGGAGAGAGAAAGAGAGAAAGTGGAATTTTGCCAATGGGCTTTTTCAATACTACATGATGTTTACTGACGCATATACAACGAATGAATCTGATTTCTAGAAATGAAAACTTAACCAAAGGTTGTCACTATTTATCACACATTCATCAATATAAACAGTCGTGTGCATACATTTACCATCCATCCGTACACCTACTTGCGAATTGAACACCGTAGATTTGCTCTTTCGACAGCATGCCCATTAGCATTGAAATATGAACAATTCAAATAAGTAATTTATTGAAATTGTAATTGAATCGGTTTGAGCGTTTTTCGTTTTTCGTTTTTTTTTTTCAAACGTTGATTGACTGCCAGTCAAGGGCATTGGCATGAATGCGTTTTATGTGTGTATAGATGGCAATTGAATGGAAATTGAAAATAAAAAGATGAGAATTCCCAATGAGAAAATTCACCTTTTCACATTCAGCCCACCCGAACAAAAGAACCATTTCTTCCGATTCGAGTTTATTCGAATAATATACATTTTTTTTCCTTCTTGATTAATGCAAAAATTCCGTGTTTATGCACACTCACATAAAAGCCGAGTAGAATTTTGCCATGAATAAGGATACCATTTTTCATTGGTGTGGAAATGGGCTGTGCGCGGGAGCGAGCGTATGTAAATTTGGTGGCTGGCAACGTATTAATAGGAAAATAACAATGCACGAACTGAATTTGCAGTTGGTGTTGAATTATCTAAAGTATTATCGAAATTGTATTAAAGTGAATGCTAGTATAGTATTACTCTGAACTAGCGCTAACTCTATTTCGCATCAATGAGCTCACAGTTTGCACAATATCTATACCACAATATGCTCTTTATCGATCTAACGAAATGTTGTAGATGATGCTGCGGCTGATGTTACTGTGCTATTGCTCTGCATAATACAGTCTCTCCGAAATGCGGAAGTTTGCGAATTTGCACATATTCTATCATCCACTTCAGATTCAATCAATGCAAGCACACATAACGGAAACAGAGATTGCAAATATTTACCCTCTCCATCAAGCATCATTCATTTTTCTTCGGCTGTGCGATTCTCCCTTTACTTTTCGCAGTGCACTCATTTTGTGCAATCCGAATGTAGTTCACTTAATTTTCGTTATTGTTTTTTTTTCTTTTGCGGTTCATCTCTTTGCTAGCATTTCAGTGATTCGTTGGTTCGTTTGATTCATACTTTCCGCATACATTACCCAAACTTCTGTGGTAATCGAAATTCCAACCGATAACTGAAAACTTGAGTGCCAAAAGTCTATCCATTTCCAATTGATATTAATTATTGCATTCACCGATACGATTCTGTATGATTCATTTTAGAGAAAATTGTTTCACACCATTTCCTGGTGTGTATAATTCAACACACCGATATTGTTGTGCACAAAAGAAGATTAATGAATTGAAAGTGATGAGAGAGCAAATGAAAAGATTTTGTGTGCGAATCGAGATCAAGAGAGAGTGGTGGCGGTGGCGGCAAGTAGATGGAAAAAATAAATGAAAAATGGAAAAAACAAGTTGCAAGTAAAATAAAATTGCGCCCATTTACCACACGCTGTGTGTAAACTTTTAATTCGCACGATTTTGCGATTTGTACTTTAACGTCTGTCCCTTTCTATTTCAAATTGAGAAAGTTTTTCAAAATAATTGAATTATCGATTCGTTTTAAAATTGCAAACACATATTCTCTCCTTCTCTCTCTCTCTCTCTCTCTCTCTCTCTCTCTCTCAGTGTGTATGGACTACGGAGGAAGAGACAAAATATATTTCGATCTACTGCGGTGAGCGTAAATGAACACTTGATTCGGGGGGAGGAATATTTATACGAAGCGGAAATTGACCATGGTGTTCGCGTTCGCGTCAATGCAGCATAACATCAAAACTTTGTCTGCGGTGTACAAAGCATTAACAACGGCCCAAAAATATAATTCATACCGTTTATTAAAACCCATAATAAATTGGGTTTGTATGCGAACGACAGACTTTTTTTTGTTCAAACACATTTAATTCAATATTTATATGTTCGTTCGTTCTCTCTCTCTCCCGGTGTCTTTCCGGAATATTTCGCACATAATACTCTCGATGGGGATAGTGGCAATGGATGCACTTTGGCTTCAACAAAAATGTGCAATTGATGGGACTTCCAATAATTCAGTCGATCACAGAACTGTTACCATAAAAATTGTACGTATAGAAAAGTGGAAAACATTTCCAAAAATACTTTACGATTTGTAAATATAGTATCTAGTACCACACGTTCGCATTGTGTATAAATTGTGTGATTGTATGTGCGCTCCATTTTCGTATGTTATTTGTGTTTGACAATACTGCATTTAATGAAACCGCACACATAGAAAAGAAGTAGTCTTTGGGTAGCATCAGCAGCACACACCACACACACAGCATTGAATTTCAATGTATGGCACATTTCGACCAAGTTACATAATATTTGCAGCAGCCAAGCGCATCGATAATGTGCTTCAAACCAAACGACTGACAAAACCAGCAGAATCATAAACTGTTTGGAGTTCAAACATATGTCGCGTTGCCAGCCAAAGTTCACTCTCTTCACCAACTATTACAACTATCTCTCACTCTATCACTCTTGACTTTAATTTTATACCGAAAATTGCAATTGCAAACGATCCACATCGGAAATAAACTGAAGCTGTCTCACACCCCCCATTTACCCGGTTTTATCCTCGCAATTGTGAGACACACAAACCAAATTTGATGTTAAAGATATGCAGTTCCAACCCGTTCAAATCAACCGCACAAGCACACACAGTCATCACTCTACTGCAATTTGTGGCGAAACGCAACGATGCCAAGGCAACAAGCAAAACTCTGACATGAATTAATCAAAATTACATTTTTCGCATGCAAAACTCTCACAACCAAGCAGCTCGCATTATTAAAATGAGAAATGCATTTAAATTTTCTTTGCGCATTCTTAATTTTGCCAAACTAACTCGAGCAACTCATCATCCTTTCTTGTGAAATGTAAAAGAAAACGACTATTCACCAGAAGCAGAAGTAAATGCATTTATTTTACATGAAAGATGTTTCAACTAAAAACTAATTTCTCTTTTTTTGTATGAAAAATTTATTTGTTTCACTTCGACAAAAAAAATAATCTATACGCAATTCCAAGCCATTCCAAAAAAAAATAATCATACCTCCCATACCAAAAAATCAATTTTCAGCCATTTTTTGAAAATTTTTAGTCAAAAAATTGAATTTTGTTCGAACGAATGATATCAAATTACAAAATTATGATCATATTCAAAATCAGCGGACAAAATTAGCCTAAGAGCAGTCAAAAAATAAATCAATAAGAACAAATGACACCGATTAAACCTGATGCATATTTTGACCCGAAAATCTCGTGGACCTGTCGGACTAGACCAATGTTAGTTCGACCAATCCGATCGTGTCCGAAATTCATTCTATCACAAAATAAATGTTAGATTCAAGTTTATCGTGTCAAAAACCCTCCAATATACATTCCCAAACAATGAAAATGAACTTAAAAAGTGTGCATTGGAGATATTGCGAGTTAAAAGCATACATGCAAATCAGTCACTATGGCTGTATGAAAATCGAGTCAGATTATTTTCAAGAGGCATTGGAATTGCTTATTGGATGGAATTGAATCGAATTGAGTAGTTAGAGCAGTTTGAAAAGTTGATTTTCCTTTGAATGTAAATCATTTTGTGAACACTTTTTGATCATTTACTCTTGATTTCAATGAAATTCTCGATATTCAAACTATACGGAACGTTCAAATGACTATAGATACAAGATGTAATTGCATTATTATAACTCTAAAATGTTTCTAGCCACAAAAAACCTAGGAACTTTGAAGAGATGTGACATTATTAGTACACAATGGTGGATTATTGTCAAAAATGTACATTTTTGTAGGGAAAGTGTATTTTAACGTGATTGTATCGCAAAACAAAGACCAGATTCGGCTTTCTCGTGCCAAAAAACTCCCCAATACGAATTTTCAGTTGAAAGAAATAATCGCCAAGTTGTTTTTAAAATTACTCCGAATGCCTTCTAGTATGAAAACTACCAAAGGCTGTAGCGAAAAAAAATTACTCCCATGGGCCAAAACGGCATGCGTGGCGTAGGTGGTCTGACTAAAACCTACAGCGTGGCATATGCCGTTTGGCCCAACAGGCGTAACCCATAGTGATGAATCCTTGTAAGATTGGAAAAATAATTTTAAACTAAAAAAATGGGTGGTTCGAAAAAAAAGTGCAAAAAACTTTTTTGTTTGAGGTTTTTTGTACTTTTCCCCTTAAAGAAAAAATAGGATATAATTATGTTAAATGAAATAGAAATAAAGAGTCTTACGGGAGTAAGACGAACTTTTCCGCACGGTGGTAGTTGCGTATTTTATTAAGA